AACAGTTCAACTGCAAGCACCAAAGCCTTTGCAAGGTGGGCTTTAATCCAGCAGCCATGTGGGAGCAGCTCCCTGATGTCGCTGCAGATGCCTTGCCGAAGCTAACCGGCAGTGTGGTCATTCCTGGCACAGAGATGCGGGCATTGGAAATCGGACGGTTGACAGACAACAAGTTCGCGGCCTGCGGCACGAAGTACCTAGACCCTTAAATTGTACTACCTTGTTCATGGTTCTTGACCCTGTAATAAGAAACTACGGTAACCCCAAACAAGGTATTACATGTAAGTGTCAGGTACGGCGCTGGCCCGTGGTTCTGCGCCGCTGTGGAGGATGTGGTCGGCGGCACGATGCTTGGTGATCTCGTGGAGGTGGAACGAGGGGGCGTACAGGCAGAACACATCTTTCCCTGGGCAGCCACCTGGTAGCTGAGTAGGTAACGGTTTAGGGCGTAGGGCAAAGTTAAGGGTTTAGAGTATACGTTTTGGCGCAACACTCAACAGATTACCACTTCTTGGGCGAGGAAGCTCATCAGCTAAGGATAACAAGGTGATCTTCTGCTGGAACCGAGGACACAGTGGTGCGTGGTGCAGGTTCATCACCTCTAAGGACCGATGACAATCAAAGTCAAGTCGTTGTATAGGGGTTTCTACAAGGGATGCTGCCAGAAAGGGTTTTAAAGGGTTGGTGTAGTACGTGTCCCGTGAGAGGCTGACTTTCTCGTTTGTTACATGATAGTGGGAACTCGCAGACACCATTTCGCAGCACAGGACAGGACAATCACGGTCGGAAAGAAGGAGGACGACCTCGCTGCACCTGCTTGGTTGACAAGGCCCTGGTTTGCAATGATTGTGACTCGATCGAACTTATGTTTGTCCAGGGATAGCCCTAAATCCTAAAACCCTACACCCTAAACCCTAACCCCTAATTAAACCCTAAACCCTAAACCCCCAGACTTATAAACCCCTAAACCCTAATCTGCTTGAGTCATCTAGGTTGTATGCTCCTCCTCTACACCTCCCTCGGCTTCCGCTCTTTCTGGCCACCTCCTCCTGCTTCTACCCATGCCATAAGTGTGTCATACCCAATACCCGAAACCCCCAAGTGCTAACTTACTAAGACCCAAACCCCCAAAACCCTAAACCTGAAGCCCTACTATAAGGGCTTAAATATTTACCATTGTTTTGGGTGGTTCCTTATTACAGCTATAGAATGGTATACCTCAAGACCCTGTTCTAATTATTAAGGCCCCTACATTAATTCTACAGTGTGTCGCGCTGCGGTTTTCCGCATTGTGGCCCTGCGCTTCTGCCCGGGGCAGCGAGAACAACCCCCGGCCCATACGGGTTTAGGGTTTAGGGTTTAGGGTTTAGGGTTTAGGGTTTAGGGGGTTGCTTTAGAAAGGGATCTATTACCTGGACCCTTAAATGTAGTACCTTTTTGGTTTACGTTGGTTTCTTGTTTTAGGATCCTGACCATAAGAATGTCATCTAACAAATTGTACTAAACCCTAAACCCTAAACCCTAAACCCTAAAACCGAAACCCCTGAACCCCTAAACCCCTATACCTACATGTAACGGTCTAGGTAGGAGATCCGCCAAATGGTTTCGTGCTCCAGGCTATAGGGGCCTTAATTACCTACATGAGTTTGGGCGTTCCTTATGATAGTTATAGTTATAGTTGAATATACCCCCAAACCCTATTCTAAGTAGTAAGGCCCCTACACTAATCTACCCGACTCGTCCTTGTTTTTTGTGTTGAACCTCTACTTTGGCGACCAAGGAGAAATATGAGGAGGGCAAGGGCGTGATTTGCTATCAAAACCGACTCTGGATTCAGCACCCTTTTGCAGTTGTTTGTTTTGGTGGTTTCCTTGTCAACATCAAGAAGTAGGACACCTGATACCTTCTTTATTACTGGTAAAAGTCTTATTGTTATGATTACTGCTATAACTATTTGTATTATTACTATAAGTGCTTTTACCGCCAGTAGTATTGCGGTTTTGTTTATTCTAATTCCTAATCTTATTTATTATCATTGTGACAATTATTGCTATGGGTTTACCCTTGCTATTCTCACGAATCTTTCTGTTTTCCAGTTTTTTCATTGTTTTGGCCATTACTTTTCAATGAAATACCGTTGCTATATTCTCAATATTATCATCATTTTTAGTGTTATTAGTAGTAATAGTGGTGGTCGTGGTAGTATAAGTGGTAGTGGATGTGGTAGTGGTAGTGGTAGTAGTAGTCGTAGTCGTAGTCGTAGCAGCAGAAGGAACTAGTAGTAGTAGTAGTAGTAGTAGTAGTAGTAGTAGTCGTAGTAGTAGTTGTAGTAGTAGCAGTAGCAGCAGCAGCAGTAGTAGTAGTGGTGGTCGTAGTAGTACTAGTGGTGGTGGTGGTAGTAGTAGTAGTAGGTAGTAGTAGGTAGTAGCAGTAGTAGTAGTAGTAGTAGTAGTAGTAGTAGTAGTACTAGTAGTAGTAGTAGGTAGTAAGTAGTAGGTAG